ACTCTCGGGAGAGTTCTGCGCGGCCGCGAGTCCGAAGATTTACACGAACGCAGAGTAACCAGCGATACAGAGTTGGAGGAAGAGGGAGAGTGTGAGAGAGAAAGAGACGGCAGAGAGAGAGAGAGAGAGAGAGAGAATCCTCTCGCTTTCTGCTGCTTCGAACTTGACGAAGTGCATCCGCCGCGGTCGAGTCGCAACGAGAGACTCGAAACATAGATAGATACACACATATATAGCGCTGCTCCCTCGGAACTCGCCGCTCCCGAGGGAGACGTCTTTCCGGCATCCGAGCGACGACCGCACACACACCGGGGCCGTGTTTGAAGGGATCCTAAGGCGAACTCCCCGGCAGACCCCGAAGAGATCTCACCTCAGCCCCGAGATGTCTTGGAGCCGGCCAACTTTGAACGACTTCCTATTCGCCGGTACGTCTCGAGGAGCGACGTAAACGACGTCGCCAAGACGCCAACTATTCGACACTTCGTGACAGGCCCGTCGTTGCGAGCCTCTCCTGGTGTCCTCCGGATACGCGGGCGTAATCTTTCGCGAGGTTGTAAGACTCAGCATTGTACTTTCAGTGGTGCATCAAGGGGACCATTCGTAAATTCAGTATTCGTCAAGCAAAATGTTGAGTGTAATTTGCGGGAGATCTTATTTGTTAATCGAACGGAGCGGAGATATTGATTGCCGGCGACGACGGCTCAATTTGCGACTGAAGTGTATTCGAGCGTACGCGCGTCGAGCGTTAAAAATTGCGTGGTTGAACAGCACGAAATGAAATTGTGTCACGTGAGTTAATTCCCGCGATAATGCGGTGGTATGCACCGCACGTTGGAGTTGCATCGACCGAGCAAAATATTCTACAGACGATAGCAAGAGCGCAATCACCAGACGCGCTCAAGCCGGCGCGAAGCATGCGAGCGAGTCGCTTATCGATGCGTTTATGGCGGTAGCGTTTTGATCGAAACACACGTCGCGCACGGTGCTCACTTCTACCTCATCCCCGGTTAATCGAGCATGTCGATGACGCCGTATATCGATTACCTGCCGCTTACGGTGTTATCGAAACGCGCTTAATTAACGGAGAACAAACTGCAGCGAGAATAACGGCGCGCGAGTCGAGCGTTAATCGCGATGCGAGAGGAGCAAAAAGGGGCAGCTGAGAAATTGCCTTCGTGTTATAAATCTTTTTCTTANTTTCTCTCTCTCTCTCTCCCCCCCCCCCTTCTCCCCCGGCACTCTGCCATTTTTATCAAGGATATACGCCGGCCTTACAACGATACTTTATCCTACTTTCGAGAAGCGTTTCGCTTGGTCGGGGTGAAAAAAATTTTAATCGCGAGTGTAGGTTCATTTTTTCAGCCTTCGGCGTGTTGTTCTCGCAGCGTATAGGGAAGACCGGGGCTTATAAAGGGGTAAGTTGGTTAATTATTTCCGTTGTTTTGTAACGGATTACAGAATTGAACAAGTAGAGATTTCGCAACCATCTTTGACATGTTCTAAATCTCTGCTTGCTCAATTCTGTAATCTGTTAGGAAACAGCAGAGATAATCGATTAGCCAACTCACCCCTTTAGCTAACTAGCTAACTAGCTTCGGCCTCCCCTATATCTCGTAGGTGGGAGATGAGACTCATCTTATTTCTTCCATCTGTCTCGGTAACCCCCTCGAATATCTCTCTCGATCGTCTTCGACGTCTCCTTCGCCTTCCAGATTCCGATTCAACGCACGACGGACTCAGTTACGAGCAGCCAAATAATAATATATAAGACCTTCGCTCAGTTGCTGCTGAACCAAGAGCTGGATCGATATTAGGGAGCAGCAGGATTCGAGCTCCCGGTTGGCGCCTCGGGACGGACTCCGCGGGATGAACAAAAATTTAGGAGTGACCTTGCACGACGGCGCAGCGCATTGAGCAACTCTTCCCTCGCAGCCGTTCCGGCGAATGCGAACGAACGAATGAGAGACGTTAAATCGAGGCGCTCCTTCTCGGGTGCCCTCCACGTAATCTCGCCGTAACCTTGACCTCCCCCCCCTCCCCCCTCCGCCATCGTTTCCACGCACGCAGTAATTTACCGCGAAACACGCGCGTCGTTACTCAGCCGTCGCTTTGTTCTCGAATTTTTTGCGAGTCGACGCCTGCCCCAAGACCTTTTTTCCTTTCCTTTTCTTTTCCCTCACTCGGAGAATTCTTTACGTAATGATCGATAATGACGACTGGCCATGTGCCCGGCTAATAATCTCTCGCGGGAGGGTACTACCGCCGTTACCTGTGCTGCTATTTAAATTTGTCCCCGTGTCATGAGTCCGTCTCATTATATTTGTTGCACGCGTCCAATTTTATACAAACGGAAAACCGATAACCGACGTTAAAACAGGCACATTATCTTCTCCTCTCTAATTTATGAATAATTATAGAGAAGGAGATATTTCAGCATAATATTATAATATCATGTATAGACGCGCTCACGCGCGAGGAAAAAGAAATAACGGAATGTAATGCATTGTATTCTCTTTCCCGTTTCATTTTACTTCATTACGGAATTTTCACAGTCGCTTAAATATATCTGAGGAAAGGTGTCGAGCGTAATCCATTTGTATAAATGATACAGCGATAGCGCTCGCTCGCAATTTCGTAACCAACACGTTTAATGTGCAGTCGAATAATTCGCTTAGCCTCGATAATCATTCTAAAATTATCTCATAGAATTTTCCTGCCTCCGATTACGCGGTTAATCAGCTTAGAATTTCTAGATCATTAAAATCATCGTTAAGCTACAATGTAAAGTTCGACGAACGCCACGTTTATTATAACCAGCGCTGCCATCCCAGTCACTTAAGTCACCTTTTGCCATTTTTTACTGAGATGTTAAATTTGTAAAATATGGGCATTCTATATATATTTTTGCTCTTTTAATAAAACTATCCCGAAAACGTACTTGTATCGCTCCTTGTTAAACTTTCAAACCGTACTATAGAAAGAACATTCTGAAGTTGCCCAAAGATAAATCTGGGAAGGTAAGAATAAGTGTTACTCTTTTTGCTTAAATGGCCTTAGTTACTTTTAGAATTTGACAAAGGAACGTCACTTTTTGTCATCTTTTCTGCCAAGAAGCAGTCATTACTTCATTTGTTTTGCCCCGATGATTGGGTAGCAGCGCTGATCACAACCAGCCGGAATTATCAAAATTACACAACTAGATAATCTAATTATCTAAAGATCCAAATTAGTTGGAGCTCATCGATACGTTCCGCCACCTGGTGCATTCGTGCGCAACGGTGCGGTGAGCCGGAAAGCGTCATACGTTGAGAGACGCGAATGGAATCATAAAACTAAGTCCAGGCTTATTTAAGGGAAGGTAGCCATAATACGCCGCCGCCATCCAAGGGAGCGAAGAGCGAAAGGGACGAAGGAAGAAGTAAAAGAAGAAGAAGAAGAAGACGTCGAGAGAGATGCGCACCTCGGGGACGGGGCCAGGACGAGGGAACAGTTTGCTGGGGAAGAGCGGGGGG